CTGGGGTGTGTGTTTTTGGCTGTGACAGACCTGGGGTGTGTTTTTGGCTGTCACAGACCTTGCTTTGTTTCGTGGGTGTTTTGCTTGCTTGTGATGGGGTGTGAACCGACAGTCTGTAGAGTTTTTTTCCATCTGGTGTGGGTGAGTGATAGTCTACTTTGATTTTCATCGCAGGTACCTTGAGGGCAGTGGTTGGTGGTCCCCACCACCTCAGAGGGGTATCAGTTGTCGGGCAGTTGTTGATGCTTAACCACAGTCGGGGTTAAGGTGGATTATCAGTTACAGTGCAATCAGTTACTTGGGGATTCTGCAGACTGTTGAGGGTTCAACCTCTAGCATAGTTGCGGCGCACCAGTGCACAGTGCGGTGCGGGGCGGTGCGCACTGCGCTGTGCGCTGGAATGACAGCGAGTGCACTGTGCGCCGTGTGCTGTGCGCAGTGCGATCCGCTGTGCACAGTGCGCGCGCTGAGGGAGGTGTGCCCTGTGCACGATTAAAAAAAAAAAACAAAAAAAAACAGGCCCCTAAGAGAGAGAGACCAAAGGGTTCCTTTTTCCTCAATTTAGGGCCCCCTGCAGGTAAGTCAAATGACTCTGACAATGCACTTCGACATTGTAGAGGCATTGAGTACCATTGTGCCAGCAAGCAAGTTGGCCGCATCACGATGAGAGAGGTGGGAGCAGACTACCAATACATGCTGTGGGTTCGAGTTCATACTCGCCAGTTATGGGTCACCAATTCAGCTAGAGCCTGTTCGTGTCTCCAGGTGTTTCTCAGGGCCTCCCTCCACCACTCACCAAATGTATATAATATTAGCAGAATGAATCTTCTGCTAAAACATGGAACTATGCATCGCCATATGCTATGTCTTTTGTGCATGTGGTGAGTAGTGGAGCAGGGCCCACTGTAGGTATTCGTAAGAAAAAAACAAAAGAACGAGAGAGCTACNCGCCATATGCTATGTCTTTTGTGCATGTGGTGAGTAGTGGAGCAGGGCCCACTGTAGGTATTCGTAAGAAAAAAACAAAAGAACGAGAGAGCTACGGGCATCTTCATCCTCCCTCCACCACTCACCAAATGTATGTAATATTAGTAGAATGAATCTTCTGCTAAAGCATGGGACCATACACCGCCATATGCTATGTCTTTTGTGCATGTGGTGAGTAGCAGGCCCCACTGTACGTATTCGTAAGAAAACAAAAACAGAAACACAAGAGAGCTATGGGCATCTTTATCCTAACCCATAATTGCCGACATGCAGCCCTGAGGGCCAATCTTCAGTATATATTGGTGGTCGGCTGGCCCTGGAAAATGCAACCTGTGCCTTCTGCAAAGCTTCGCGGGGCAGGTCGTTATTAGGTGACTTCCCCCTTCTTGCGAACTTACCCTACCACTGCGTGGGATTTGCAGAAGGGAGGGGGAAGGCCAATTTTCATACCCCTCCTTAAAAAAAGTTGGAATGAGCCCTATTTTATGCTTCACCATTTTGAAACTTTTGGGGGTAGGGCCTGCGGAAATCGAAATTCGGCAGCCCTTGCCCAAAAAATTTTTTTGGGCCGGGGGCGCGGCCAGTTTCTGAGCTCGCACAGTGAGTTTAACATTTTTGCCGAGTTGGGGGCCCTAAGGAATGACAAAACCCCTCTTTTTTTTTTTTTTTTTTAGACCTAATTTTTCAAGTGCGGTGTGCTTCGGTGCGCTGTGCGGTGCGCAATGTGTGTGCAAATCCGCGCACCGAGGTGCGCCGCAACTATGGCCTTTAGTGATTGATGGGTCGGTGAAACTCCGCTGGAACAGTTTGTCACAGCCCCTCGTTTGTTGTCCTCTTCTTGCTGTCTGCCTACTACGGTTTACCGGGCAGCTCTGTTTGACTTTTGACTATATATATATATATATATATATATATATATATATCGTCGAACAGAGCTGCCTGGTAAACCGTAGACAGAGAAGAAGAAGAGGACCCAAAAAAAAAAGAAAAGAAAAAAAAGATTGTCCTACCTTGTTTTCCTCCAAGTGTAAAAGGGCCCCGAGTGTCCAGCTCAACTGGCGTACTATTCTTTCGCCTTTTACTAAAGAATACCGTGGGCTGAGCACACTAAGCAGCTTAAAATAATTTTTTGACGGCTCTTTGTTCCATCGAAGAGCCAATTAAAAAAAAAAGAAAAAGAAAAGTAGTGCCAGTGTGTACTTGCTACTGCTGTCAACGTATGCACGTGTCATAAAAAGATGACCACATGCATGATAAGGAGATACGTGGCTCCAAACTTTGAATACAAAGTTCGACATTTACATTTATGTATTTATATATTTCTTATACATTATATAAATATAATTTGGACCATTTCTGCGATTTATGCTTGTCATCCTTGCGCAGGGAGGGCCCACACTTATCTTTTCTTCTCTGTCTGGCTCCAATTTTCACCCGTGGAATTGTTAGGACCCCGGCCTGAAGCTAGTAGGAGGCCCTAAGCAGCTAAGCTTATTCAAGTTAGAGAGAATGTGAGAGATGGAGCGATTGGCTCCCAAGTCATTCTAAGTGAGACTGGGTACATTTTTTATGAGAATGAATCTTGGCCTCGAACATGGAAAGATGAACGGCCATCATTTTTGTCTTTTGTGCATTTGGTGAGTACTGCGGTGTGGCCCTACGTCTACACTCAAAACCACTGGCCTGAAAACCGCACACGGTCAGGCACACAATCAAGTCCAGTGCTTAGTACAGAAGTCCTACCTTCTTCCCCTGAATACAACTTACGGTCATTATAGCTGTATCTAGACTGAAAGATGCCTCCAATACACAGCTGTATTGACCGTACATTGTATTCGGTATTCGGTGAAAAAAGGTAGCGTGCTCGCAGGACTGAAGTGTCTACGACAGTAGACTCTGTCTCTTATACACATCTAGATGTGTATAAGAGACAGGTCTAATAATACCCCACCGATTGACTCAGCAAGCGAATACATAACGGTCGCCTGCTCTATTCCCGTGCTGGTTCGAACTTTGTACCTCCGTGGTTCAAACTTTGGCTCCGAACGCCACTTCAGTGCTCTCCCAGTTCTGATGCCTGCACCTGACCTTAGTCACAAAAGGAAGAAGAATAGAATAGAATAGAAATTATAGAATAGAATAGAATAGAATAGTGATAAACAGAGGTCGCAGACAGTCTTTCTAGCACATTTTTAACCTTTTTTTTTTTTTTTTGAAGCTCCCTTCTGGTTACTACTAGGGGTGCTGATATGAGCAGACACCGCTAGTACTGTGGGGGAGGCTCCGTCTATTGGTGGGGAGCAGCACCTGCTGAAATCGTTTTCCACAGGGGGCCGACCTACCCACATAAAGACCGGATCTGGGAGCCTTACCCAGTGTTCTACTTTTGACAGGACCCATCGGGTCCCAAGTTAAAGGTTAAAACTCAAGCCTGTGTCAATAAATGTTGACCCCCTAGCTTCTATTTAAGCTCGAGCCGTAGACCCTTGTCTCTTTTATTCCCGCTATAAAGTTCTATAATTAGCTTCGGAATCCTTATTGCCTTCCTTTGTAGAAGGATGGTGATCCTTTGCCTCCGGTTTCTGAGCCAGTGCAAAATATGCGAGCAAAAGCATGATCTTGGCTGTCCCGTTCGGCTGCCCCGGTAGGATGGGGGCGTCCCCAGTCCCTCACTGCCGCTCTTCCCTCCGAATGACGCTCCCTGACAAAACAGCCCATTATCTGGCTAAAGGGGGGGGGGGGGCTGCCGATCTGCCAGTGGTGAATCGCCCTGTTCTCAGTTGGGAGTCGGTGCAGCGCCAGAAAACGCTGGCTTCCCTGAGGGACCCCAGGAGTGTCTGCTCCGTTGCTGATCCCGTCGCGTGGCCTGGTCTCTGTGTTCCATGTCGGGTCCTTTTGACCTTGCTGCTTCCGTTGTTTGCATCCTTGATTGCATCACATGTCGTCAGCTCCTTCAGCATCTTGCACCTCGAAACCCCACTGGCAGGCTTCCCTGGGAGACCCCAGGGTGTTCCGTTTGTGGCGGGTTAGCGAGTTCTCTCTGTCAGTGAGTGCCTTTGCTGAGGTGAGTCCCTCACCGCTCGCTTGTCCGTGAGTTGTTCCATGCCTTTGAGGGGGTCCTTCTCTGACTTGTGTTTCTTGTTGCTCTTCAGAATCTGTGATTATGCCTCCTCTCCCGGCAGAGTTGTTGTCCTGTTCTTCCCGATATCGCTGTTCCTTGCACAGGCGATAGCTTTGCTTTTCATGGAGGGCGAGGGGTGGGAATATCAGGGGACTGGGCGGTCGGGATGAGGGGGCCTGGGTTGGGGGGGAGGTGAGGAGGGCTGCGGGGGGCGGGCCGAAGGGGGGGCTGCGGGGCCATGTGAAAGTCAGGTGTCTCCCTGTTATTGTTGCGATTCAGCCAGCGCCTAGTGTCTGCGTGAGGAATTTCTGCTTGAGATCGGTTTCCTTGCTGGGGTCCTCTTTGATTTTGCGCCTTACCTGGACCCAGTCCGTATGGTATTCAACCTCCACGTCCTCCCTGAAGTTGAACCATGTGAGGTGGGATTGGTGAGGTGTCTGAGGCAAGGTGTGCTTTTTTTTTTTTTTTTTAATGAAAAGCAGTCTTTCCTTCAGAAAATTTGAGGCCGAGGTCCCCATATTCGAGAACGTTACGTTTGTTTTCAGCCTTTTTTTTTTTCTTTCTTGAATTTCGTTTTTTTTTCATATTGTTTCTTTTGGCAATAAAACTTCTGCTTCTCTCTCTCTGTGGGCATTGCTGCAGGGCAGACGAAACGAAAAACGAAACCAGTGTGTCTTCCCGACAGGAAAAATGGACAGGTTCATCTGTTCGCTATAAATAGTTACGAGTGTATTTTACCACCTTTCACGGGCAGATGCACTCGTTTCGTTTTCTATTCGTGTGTGCTGTGTGGCGAGGCCCTCTCTCTGTGGTTGCTACTGCTTCTCAACTTGTGCCCCTTTCGTGCATGCCTCTTTTTTTTTTTTTTTTTTTTTTTTTTTTTCTGTTTCAGGTGCGGATTCTGCAAACGACTGGCACCGATATGGAGCGAGCTAGCAAGGCAGACCCGAGGTCAACCTGAAGCTTCCGGCGAATCTTCGGTGAACATTGCCGCGCTTCGGGCATCCGAGTACAGGGAGCACGTGGCGGCCGCGTTTGTGCAGGGCTATCCGACGGTGCTGTACATGCACGGCGGTGTAGTGGTGGATGAGTACGATGGTGATCGGACAGTCAAAGCTCTGCGCACCTACATCTCGTCAATGGTGAGCATGAGTGAGGAGGAACGTGATGCGCTGAAGGCCAAGTCGGCAGTGAAGAGGGCAGAGCACGAGCTCCGGAGGGAGGAGCAAAAGGCAAAAAGGCGCCAAGAGGAAATCAGAAGCGAGTTCCAATCGAATGTGACCTTGCTAGATTTGACAAACGACAGCGTTGTGCAGGCAGAAATATCCAATCGAAAAGACGTTATCCTCTTCGTATACACTCACTCGTAAGCAAGTAAATCTTACCGCCACCGGAAAAAAAAAAAAAAAAAAAAAAAAAAAAAAAAAAAAAAAAACCCACAGAGAGAGAGAGAGAGAGAGAGAGAGAGAGAGAGAGAGAGAGAGAGAGAGAGAGAGAGAGAGAGAGAGAGAGACCATGACATGGTTTGACAAAGGACTTGGGGCTCGATACGCTGCTCAGCATATGTGTGCAAAATGTGACTGTATGTTCAGCTAGAAGTTGGAAATGCCGAAAATAGACACTTATTTTTTTAATTAATTAATTAATTCATTTAATTTTTTTTTCTGCCTTTCTCCCACATTTGGCGAGTGGTAGAGTGAGGGACTTGATGAACTAACATATAAAAAAAAATTAAAAATGCTTTTGTGCTCCTTTTTTCTTTTTTTGTCCTGTGGGAAACGAAATGCTCTATTGGTGTGGGAAGCCACACCTGCTGAAAATTGGGACCCTGGACCAGGTCTCCGTTCTGAATGAGATGGGGGACATCATTATGGTAATGGGACACAGCCTGCGCTGTTGGTTTTAACCTCTGCATGATGCAGCAGAATGAGAAATCCTCTGATGAACCTAATAATGGGACACAGCCTGCGCTGTCCGTTTTAATCTGCGCTGTCCGTTTTTTCCTTTTCTTCCCCTCTCCCCCCTTTCCAGTTCCGCTGTTAGGGAGCTTTTACCCTCCAAATCCCCCCCGACCAAACCCCCTGGCCAAAAAATGGAAAAAAGGGGGGATTTGGAGGGTAAAAGCTCCCTAACAGCGGAACTGGGGCTGTTTGTACCAAGTGGAAAGTCCCAGCAAACTCCGGAACTGGCACACAAGGATGGGACCAGTTCCAAGTATGGGACCTGTTCCAAGTATGGGACCAGTTCCAAAGCTCCAAGTATGGGACCAGTTCCAAGTATGGGACCAGTTCCAAGTATGGGACCAGTTCAACAGTTTTCTGATGTGTGAGAGTTGTACAATGTACTTTCCAGTTTGGGTAAGTTTTACAGAAACACGTTCGTCCTGTCTGTGGGTACTCAGCATCCTCCACAATTTAGAAAGTCATCGCAATCATTATATCCGCTCTGGCAGTCTGGATTAGGATCAGTTATTTTTGTCTGTTAGATCGATTATTGAAGATGCACGTGCACCCCTCTCGATATGTGCTGACCGGCAGACGGTAGTACACTGGTGTATACAAGGTTCTTTCAGAGTGAAGAGTGCAAAACGCCAACAGACTCGTTCCTTTTTCTGACACCATCTCATTGTTCCCCCTCCCCCTCTCCCTCCCCCTCCCCTCCCCCTTCTCTCTCTCTCTCATTTCTTGACCCTCCCTGCCCTCCCTCCCCTTCCCTTTCCTCTCCCTTTGTGGTCGAAAACTACTTTGCAGGTGTGAAGCTTGCACACTCGTGATGCCAGGCTTTTCTGAGTTTGCTAGCAGTGTGGGAATCCCAGACCTCCGTGTTATGAGAATGGAGGCTGCGGAGGACGAGCCAGTCTTTCCGGGAGCTGCCTTTGCATACCGTGATGGATTCCCCGTCATCTTGTACCTCAGGAATCTCAGAGTGATGGGTCTGTACGGGGGTAACGCTGCAGATGTCACCCAGCTCGTGAATTTCGCTAGAAGAATGAAGTCGTTATCGAAGAAACAGGTCGAGGACGCGGTAAGCACCCTGAGGGTTGAAGCAGAGGTGATTGCAAAAGAGGTTCGCGAGAGAAAGGCCTTCCTCGCGAGTCAACAGGAACAGGTGCGTCCCTCTCCGAGGACACCGAGGTAACCCGGAAATCAGGTGTACTTGCACAAAAGAGAAAGCTCTGTGCTTTCCTAGTGTGCGTCCCCACCACCCCTCACCTTACCCCCCTTAGCGATGCTCGGTTCTCGTTTCTGCCCCTTTGGAAAGTTTGATTCCTCTCTCTCTCTCTCTCTCTCTCTCTCTCTCTCTCTCTCTCTCTCTCTCTCTCTCTCTCTCTCT